AGAAACAAGAGAGAGGATATTAAATCGCTTCGCGGGGGTCTCTTTTTTTTAAACTCACGACTAAACGAAAGAGTCGTTCTCTCGTCTATCGTATGTAAGTACTAAGTACGTATTACGCGCACTACTTTCCGCAAATGTAAATAAGATTAAATCGATAAGATCGTGGGCTCGATGAACGCGAAGGTTGTCGAATCGAACATTTAAATCGCATATGATACAGATATTATTACACTTAACTACTTACTTACGTAGGTATTGGATATACGTCGCTTTTCTTTCTTTTACACACATACATACACGCGCGCGCGCGCGCGCGAACACACACACACACACACACACACTCTCTCTCTTTTGCTCGTTTCGTCCTTTTACTTTTCTCACTCATGCATAGGTCATCCCTCTCCGCACGAAGAAATAATAAAAAGTTTTTTATTTTTTTTGTTTTTTGTTTTACGAGTCGCGAGTTTTTCGATAAATTGAATACTTGTTACAGACATTACAGGTAGTCAGATGTCGCAGAAAAATTATTAGCAATTTGTTGGCACCCATTTCGAGCGAGCTTTCGTTGCTTGAGGTATTTGCAGCAGGTCGATACCCTTAGCGTGTACAGAATGTGAAAAATGTTACGTTCGAGAATTTTGACGATATATAATAGGCGTTAAAGTAAGTGAATGGATATTATAGAAAAGCTGAGGCAAAAATGAAGTCTGTTCATTGTGGATTTTTTTTTTTTTTGCTTGAGTATTATAAATAACTTGTTCTCCGGCTATATGTATTATTGTATATTGAATAAAAATAAACATTTTTTTTGTATTATATATTTTGGCCTTTCTTTTTCGAAGATATTTAAAAATATATTCAATTTTAATTTCCCACACTTTAGGAGAATGGAAAATTACTATTCACTAAATACAATATTGACAATACATTAGCTTTAATCATTTTTGTACAATAATTCTGGGGATTATTTTTCATCGTGCGATTAGCAAATTATAATACAAAACAAATACAAATTAATTAATTATTAGTTCTAACATTTTTCAATGTAGGAAATTCCATAAGATAAAAGTAGAAAATTAAAATAGAAAGATAACCTATAATATATATTGAAAAAAAACAAACAAATAAGATATGTATAAATAACAGAATTCCACGTCGTTGATAATCACTATACCTTCAAATGAAATAAAATAAATGAGAATAGTGAAATCATTCAGTGTTTCTGGATAGAAAATTGCAATATATTTGAAACGATTTTAATCCTCAGATGTATGCTGGTATCAAAACTTTTTCACTTACTTTAGCGTATATTTTGCATATTGAAAAATTCAAGAATATTCGTTCAACACTCTGTACAACATTCGTGAAAAATCATGCGATCGTTTGCTTAAAATTAAAGATCCCTCTTATAAGAAATAGCGTGTTTTATTAAATATATACGTTCGGTAGCTATGAACAATTTTCTTGTATAAAAATTATTTAAACAGTGCGTATTTACGCATCACTATATCGATCGATTCTTCTCGCGTAGATCGCACCGGATTTAGCGATCATTGGGAAGAACCTGTAGACTCCTCTACTCGGAACGGGGGTGGGGGGTGTGAGAGGTGAAAAGAATGCGCGAAAGAACACGAGCGACAGAAAGTTGGGGGAAAAAGATGGGACTGGTGAAGAAACGACTTCCTAACTCGACAAGTTATTACAGACCCATCCTTCATATGTACACTGGCAAATAAATTAACGCTTTCTTCGGGAGGGTTCTGCGTAACTTTCTGCCGGCGCTCGCACCCCTTTGCAAATCATCCCCCCCTCCCCCTCCTTTCACCGATTTACCTATCACGCAATCGATGCCATTGTATTCGCAGCAGCACCCTTTCTTACGCCTGGTAACGATACATTTCCTTAAAACTACTCGCATCCTCTCGAAAGATTAGCCAATTCAACGAACCGCGTTCGACCAATATTTTTTATTTGGCAACTCGCGCGGACGATGGATTCGAAGGACGTGATTCGGAGTGTGATTGTTTGGAAGAGGGACGATAACGATTGCAACGTGATCGTTGAGCAATAGGCGGAAGAATGTTTAGCAGTCGGGCGAGAAACTGCCGAAAACTTTCGAGCAGCGAACGCAAACCGAATAAAGATTCGAAGATATGTACTTTTACTCGCGAACGTTGCCAAATGAAAAATATTTCGGTCGTTTTCGCGTTCCGTTTCGTTCCGAGTCCTGAAATCTGGATAAATACTTTGATAAGTTAACACGCGGAACCCTTTAGGATAAATAGAATTTGTTCAATTTACATCTTCACCTCGATCGTTCGCTCGTTTTTTCTCCTTTGCTTCTCGGAAAAAACGAGAGGGCGGGGGGGCCCCCCCCAGCCACTATCGCCGTGGATCGCGAACTAGTATGCAGGTAGGGTAAAAATATTGGACTACAATCGAGGAGCGGAGAAGAGTCAAAGGACACGGGCGTAGAATGGATGGAAGGGTGGTGGGTGATCAGAGAAGGAGGTCCAGTTTCCGGGTTTCCCCTAAATCGGGATAGACGGAGAAAGGTTGGAAGAGATCGGCGTGGTCGGGGCCGCGCGCACTCGATGACGACGAGGGAGAGGGAGTGGGAGAGGGCGTGGAGGAGGAGGAGGAGGAGGAAGACGGAGACGAAGTCCCGGTGGAGCGGTAGGGTCACTTGGCGTGCTGCTTCGGAAGATGCCGTTTCATGTGAAGGGCGAGGTGATCGCTCCTGGCGAAGGAACGCTCGCATACGGCACACTTGAAGGGTTTCGCACCGGTGTGCTTTCGATAGTGACGAGTTAATTCGTCGCTCCTAGCGAATCGCCATTCGCATTCTGGCCATTGACACTGGTACGGTTTTTCACCTGAAACAGAAACGGGTGAAATTCGTACGATCTCACTTTCACCGGAGCCGTCGTCTAACGCAATTTCTAAGATGGATATTAACGGGTTCGCGAGCGTCGGAGTTTTCGCGCGATGGAGAAAAGTTAACTGGACTCTGGCGGAGCGTATGCATCTCGGGGGGACCGTTGGCTGGGTTACAGCGAAGCTAGATGAGGCGAGGCGAGGCGAGGCGAGACTCGGCTCGGCTCGGCTCGGCTCGGCTCGGCTTGGCAAGTCGAGGCCAAGAGGGCGGGGCGCGTGGCGGCGAGGAAAAGCAGGAGCAGGAGCAGGAGTAAGAGCGAGGCAGGATCAGCGAGAACGCGAACGGATTGCGCTAGAATACAGGTGAGCGTATTGCGGCATGCGGGTACAGTTAAAGGTCACCGCGGCATCTCTCGTAGCCTAAGGTTCTTCGTCTACCTATCGCTATCGCAAAGAGCACCGCTTTGTTCTTTAAACAGGTCTCTCCTCTTTCTTGACCCAACTACCAACCATCACCTCACCTCGTGGTTCCTCGAGGTACGAACTCGCATTCCAATTACACGTACCAATTAACTTGGTCGAGCGTGTCTTTCGGACGGACAGGTATTTGCTCGGAGCAAAGATCCTCGGTTGCTCCGTCGATATTCCGATTGTTGTTCGGAAGGAAGGAGAGAGCGATCGGAAAATGGTCGGTAGAGGTATGCGGGAAATAGCGAGAGAAGACTCGATAGCTGAGAAATACGCCCACGCATGCCGATGACTCGTTCCCCTGTACGGAACGGGGCTCGGTCTCGCTATGGAGACGACCCCAACCGGTCTTAGCCACACGCACGACTCCCATACAATCGGCATTACCACCACGAGCGGCATCCATTCACGGTATTGCTCGTTCATGAGAATTCCGCGGAGATTTCTTCGAGACGCCGCGGCGCAGAGAAAAGGACTAGCTCGAACCAGCTTTCCGGTAATAGCACCACCTTTTCTATCCGCACCACCAGCCATGTTCGTCGCGTGCCTCCTTTGTTCGTAATTTTTTTTTGCTCGACTACTTAGTATCCGTCTCTGTGGAAGAAAAAGAAAAAACGGGAAACGATGACGATTGTTGCGATTCACGCGTAAATCGGTCTCGGTAAAAATAGAAAGGCGTTTAACGCGCGTCGCGTCATCTAATTGCCAGGTGTTAAGTCATTCTCGGATACTGTTCGATCGTGTCGGATCCAGTTTTTCAGGGAGGTGCTTCCCAACGATCTGGTTCGGCTTTTTACGAGGTTGATAACGTTCCAGATGGCGTATCGTTGAATCGCGTGTGCCCGTTGGCTCGACGACGCCTACGAGCCTCGAGGCGTCCCCGTTAATTTCGGATCACTTTCACCGCGCGCGGCACGGTGTCTGGCATTCGTAGCGTCGCACGACAACTCGCTCTCCAAACTCCGCTTCGCCCGCGACAATCCGCCTCCAGACCTTCCGCCGATTCTACCGTCCAGCCTTTCGAGAAACACCGTTACGGCGATTCGGCCGTGTTGTCTTTTAAAGCCGACGAAACGAGCAAACACGCGGTTGCGCCGCGCCGCGCAGAAGGTTGCCGAAGTCGAAAGCATGGATGAAGCAAGAATGTTGCTCGCCTCGTGTCCGCGTATTCTACACCGTGAGACTTCTCCTCGCTTACGTGCCAATCGGTTGGTTCCCTCCCTCCTACCTACCTACCTACCTACCTACCTACCTACCTACCTACCTACCTACCTACCTTCCTTCCACGATGCAACTCCCAACCGTCGGATTCTCACCTCTTGCCAACGTACTTACGCACGTCCGAAAATCGAACCGAACCGACTAGTCGTGAATTTGGTTCGAAACGAGACATCGCTTCCGAAAACCTTTTTGCATCCGTTTCCAGTGAAATTTCGATGAAGATCGATAAGATCGGCCCCGTGTGGATAGGAAAGAGAAAAAAATGATCCGGCCAAGGTTGTCTCGCGCGAAACCCTGGAATCGGTGGACGCGCGCACGAAACTTTCCTATTAAGAAGCACGCAACGTGTATAGCTTACACGCGGTATAACGCATTCGAACGCATTAACAGAATACTAAACTAGCCGCGGCGTAATACCTTCGCGTTGATCAAGAATCGATCGACGTGTCCGCTCACGACCGGCCGAACGAACAATCCTCGAATATAGACGTTCCACCTTGGACGGTATATAATTTACGAGCGATCGGCCGATATTCTTTTCCGCGACGGGAGAAGCGCGTGTGCGTCCGACAACCGGTGAATGCCGACCTCGCTGACAGACTTATCCGATTCGTTCATTCAAGAAGGAGCGCCACGTGCCCGAGGCTCCGGACCCACCAACTACGCCACTGCCTTTTCTCTCGCGATTCACCCGCCTTCCTCCATACCTTTCTATGCCCGCCTTCCAATTCCACCGCATCGATCATTCGAATAAAACGAACGATCGGCGAGGAAAAGTCAGCACGTGAAAGTAAACCAGGATAATCGCGCCGCTCTCGAGCGATCGTTGGAATCCCGGGAAGCGGCACGCGCTAAGGGGAAGAGACGAAAGGCATTTACACGCTAGTCCCTTATCGACCACGGACATAGGCTAATAATTAAGGAATTCCGAGAGCGATCGAATGTCAGCTATCTCGAATCTTTTATGGAACGAACGTCTTCGAATCTGTGTGCCCAACTACGAAAGAGTTGAAAGAGTACATTGAATATTTTCCAGTTGCCACACACGCGAGAAAAGGTGGAGAAAAATATGGACGAGGATTGGTCGAAATTCACGACAGTTGGCCAATTTCCAAGGTTCTAGGTGGTCGTCGACGCGAGTCGCGCGCCGCGGTTACCGCAAAACGAGATACCTCCGCTGGAGGTATCAATTCGAAAGTGGTACATCGCGGTTTAGATGGCATTCCGCGAGAGGCTGTCGAGTGGGCACGCGTGCATCTATTCTCCGTGTCCGTGCAACGTCCGCTTTCGCGATCGTGCCCGCGTTTACGCCGCTTCGTCGTCCCGGTATTTTCCATCTTTTCGATTCCATCGAGCGACCATCGGCGAGAAAAATAGTCGCGGTGCGACGCGGGATGGATCGACGCCAAGACCACGTATTCTGAATGGACTCTCTCGCTTTTTCTCTCTCTCTCTCGCTGGCACTCCTGTTCATTCAGCAAAGCTAGAGCGTAGAGAGAGAATTTTCGAAGCAGCACCTAACCTAACCAGTTAACTCGAAACACCGCTCTCTTGGAATTCGCCAATTACCCGTTGCTAATCTACGCGGGAATCCACCGCTTTCCCACGTTTCGTTGGCGAACGAAGCGCGCCTAGATCTATAATCGGCTGGACCGATCGTTTTCGTTTACGACGCGTTCGCCTCTGCGACAACACCGGAGAGATGATTCTGCGTCGTTTCAGCCATCAGCCCGAGACCCCTTTCGTGCTCGACCGTGTACAAATACACGTAGGTGTAGTAGGTACGAGCGCGTTAGCGAGCAGTGTGTTTGGATACGGACAGGATGTGGGTCGCTAGCTCGAGTCTACGAAGCGGAGAGTCGCATACCACGCTTCATGCGTTCCTTATACGTTTACATATGATAGAGGCTCCTTTGCGCGACACCGCGCGCACAGACGGAAGAGAGAGAGAGAGAGAGAGAGAGAGAGAGAGAGAGAGAGAGCGACGGGGAGGAAGGTTAAACGGAGAAAGAGGCTGGAAAGAAGGAGAGGCTGCCGCGACCGCGCCCTGCCCACGCCAAGTGCTCGACCTCGCGCTTTCAAACGCTCCGTTTCGCTTCGTAGATGAGCTACATAGTACATATCTAATTTCCACGGCCGCGCCGAAAACGCTTGCGCGTTTCACCGGAAGAAAATCGACACTCACCCGTGTGTATCCGCTGGTGCGCCTTCAAGTGCGAACTCTTCGTGTAGACCTTTGTACAACCTGCAAAACGAAATATTTACCAGTACCGTGAGCGTTGTTCCTCTTTCTCTGAAAACATATGTTGTTGCGATGAAAATGCAAGTATCGATACACCAAAGTGGTGTCCGCATGTATAGGTACGCGGTTATCGAGATTACTTTTGCTGAAAACTCGAGCGACGTGTTTGCTTTTCTTTTCTTTTCTTTTCTTTTCTTTTCTTTTCTATCGTTCGCGTAGCGGCGAGTGGAAAAAAGGAACTTACCTATGAAATCACAGTGGTGAACGCGACGTTTCTCCAGCTCGGGATTGTTCCGCCTGTTGAATTTGGTAGTGATGGCTGGGGCTTGAATCCTGTGCGGAGGATTCATAATGGAGGGCTGGGGATAGGGTGGAGGCGGTGTCCGTCTCGGTGGAGCCCCTATCGGCGAGCCAGGATCAGAAATCGGCGGCGTCAGCGGGGAAATATACATTAACCTAGTCATCGAGCCGTAAAGCGGTGACGTCGCGCTGCCACCGATCTGATTCCCACCTCCGTGATGACTCGTCGTCGAGTCGTTATTGTTGTTATTGTTATTACCGTTCCCACTACCGCCGTTGCTGTTGTTATTATTGTTGCTGTTGTTGTTGTTGTTGCTGCTGGCGACGTTGTTGTTGTTGTGGTTGTTGTTGTTGTTGGCTCCAGCGGCGTTGTTGTTGGTGTGGTTGTGGTTGTTGTTGTTGGTACTGCTGCTGTTGTTGTTGTTGTGGTTGTTGTTGTTGTTGGAAGGGAAAGTCTTGAAGGCGGCAGAGGTGGTCCGATGGTGGGGCGGCTGAGGACCGGTGGACGGATTGGGATGGCCGTTCGCGTAGCTCGGCACCGAATTCGAAACGGGTCCTTCGAGTAGGTGCAAGGTCGGCGGCGGAGGCAACGGCTCCGTTTTGATTTCGACCGGCGACAATACCGGCGACGCGACCTCGTCCGTCTCCATCTTGACGTGAGACTGCGAGGCCAGCATGTCGGCGTTCTCCGGGTCGAGCTTTTGTATACTGGAGGTGATGTCCTCCCAGAGCGGCGGCCTGAGGAACACGTCGTCGTCGTTCCCCGCAGGCTGACTCCTCGACGAGACGAAGCTGGCCTGCGGCCGACATACCGGTCCCCCGACCTCGAAGAAGTCCTCCATCTGCACCGCCGACTCCCTCGGCTCCTTCTCCGGGTCATCTTCGTCGAGCTTCTGCAGCCGGTCGAGCTCCTGTCTACATAGCAACGTGTCCAGGTCCGACGTCTGCTGGAAATAAAAGGCGAACAAGCTCGAGAATAGTAGGATGATAGATCGGATGGTGAAGAGGCGACGAGTCTCAGAGTAGGTTAACCAAGCAGCGGACAAGTAAACGAGCGAGTGACTTGCGGTATGCTGATTCACCAAAGCGCATACGGCACGTTGTTCTCTCGGTTAATATGCAACGAACGCATCGAGGGCTGTGCAGCATGAGGTCTCTTACACCGCACGCCTCGTGCCAGCCAGTCCTGCGATGCATATGAGAACTGTGTATCGCAGAGCCGGAGGGGCGCGAACCAAGAGGAAAGGGTACAGTTTCGTCTGGAAGATGGGAGGGAGCGGGCCGATGCCGCGTCATTCTTTGCATGATTTGTACACGCGCAACGCCGCCCTCGTGCGCCACGCCACGCTCTCTCCTCTCAGCGCAGACCGCATAACATTCCGAATATTTTAATGTGCCGGGATACATCACGCCCCTTTTAACGCTCCTTCACCCTTACCTCTCTCTCTCTAAACGATTTTACGACTTTATCGTTTTCGTGCGATACCTATCTCCGAAAACTTGGACCCCGTTCCGACTTAGGTGTGTGTATTGTACATACGTTCAAAGTTCACTTCGGCGATCCGTTACAACGCGGATCGAACGAAACGGTATGGAATACGTAACGTGAATCTTTAAGCGCCATCGTCGCTGATCGATCCTGCTGTCGCAGCGTGAAACAGTCCTATCGCGACTCGGACTTGCCAGCAGGACGTAGAATTTTCCAGGAGAGGTCGAGAAATTTTCCGCTGGCACGTGGAAGTGAAATGCGACGAATCGATGGAAAAAGAAGCGAGCGATTCGGGCTCGCCGTCCGGCGAGCTTATACATATAGCGATTTATGAATTATTTACACAATGAATTATTCATCGTCGGAAGATTGGTATATTCGCAACACTCGATCGTACCTGATATGCAATTTGAAAAGGAGTTTGCAGCGAGGTACGATATGCGCGCGAAACATTATATTATATTTAAATGGCATATCGTCGTCGGCCAGGACCCATACGACGGGCTTCGGTGCGCGTTCATCGATAAAATAACCAACGACCGTCGCAAACTGCTGCCTTCGAGTCTTCATTTCGGTTGTAAAGGAAAATCGACGGTTAAAGATCCCTATTCGGCCGCAGCTAGGACTAACGAAATTTTGCGGACTTTGCGATTCGCGCGACAGCCGTTACCTAATGTTCTTTTTTCAGTCGCCGCCCCTTCGGCCGATTCGCGTTCCTCCTCTTTTCCTTTTCGCTGTTCCGAGCGTGTCTCTCTTTGGCGTTGCGATAATGATAGTGCCGAGCGCGAGCAAAGTTCGTCCATCCGGCTATTAATGCGCGTAATCATAGAGTCAGGGCCGTCGGTGTTAATAATGCGTTTTCGAATCTGTCAGAGCGAGAACGAACACCCACGCCGTCGATAGATAGAGCATCGTCATCGTAGCTGGCGTTCCGTTCGCGTTCTGGTTCCCCTATACGTGTTCGCGTTCGCTCGTGCCGCCTAGCATTTTTTATTCCAACCAATCGCGGCCTCGCGGTTCACAAAGGAACGCGCCAGCGCACGCGCGGCTTCTGCTCTCATTCACGGCAATTCTCTACCATAATTAATCCTCCGATTCTTCTATCGCTTCCACCCAAGACCGAACTGCTTCCAATCGAGGCATACGTTCCTTCTGCAGCTCCACATTACGAAAATGCATATTAACGGCTGGAAAATTACCGAACTTGGGTGAAAACGGTGTTTTCCCCGAAGCGTCGCTCGCCGGTCTTCCGTTTCTCCCCTCGTATACGTCATAATTATGGAAAGCGAACGATCGTATAGCGACAGCTTTATCGGGTCTCGGGGCAAATGGGACAATGGGACAAGAAAGATGGTGACGGTCGAAGAGCCGCGACAAGGAAAGCGGCCATACTGTTCGCAGTAACGAAGCGTAGCGCGCAGAAGCGAGCTCGCCGAATCAATCTGGCGAGGCCACACCCTCTGACCTAAAGACGTATTATCGCGATAAACGTGCGGGCAAATGTCAGCCGCGCGTACCGTCCGCCATTTTTCTCCGCAGAGCTTTCCAGTCGAGGACGCGTCAACTTCCGAAAATCGCCTTACCGCACGCCGTTATCACTACTTACGCGAGTACTTACGCAGAAGAGAAATCCATCTTTTGGATTCTTTCGAAATAGCCGCGCTAGTCACGAGCGAACGAATGGCGATTACTCGCGTTCGCAGATTACCAGAAGCATGTTCGACGATGTTCGTGTAATCGAACCGTTTCACTTGGAGTTCCCGAAAATATCGCGGTTACCCTTGCCAGCAGTGCGGAGGAGCGAGCGAGACACGTACAATACAACAGTGTCCTTTCTTACGCGGCAAGCCGGTAATTTACTTAAATGATGGCGCGAGATGGGCAACGCCTGTGGCCCAAACCTACCTACCATCTGAGAAAGAAGAAGAAGAGAAGGAGGAGAAAGAAAGTTTCGGGACCAAGGCGAAAAGAAAGAAACGGAGGAGGCGTGGCACGATCAAAGGATTAAGTTCAGATGCAAATTTACGTTTCTCGAGAATGCCACTGCCAGAAACTCCGCGATGAAGAAAATTGAAAATTGATCAATTTCCCAGCTAATCCTTCTCGCCGAAGAGGCAATTCAGTTGAATCGAGAGTACGAGATATCGGTTGGATCCCCAATTCGCAACTTCGCCTTGGTAGATACTTGGTTATTTTAGCTAGAAGGTAGAACGTTTGGAAGGTAAGCGAAGCACGGAGGTCGTGATCGAGGCAGAATAGGGCGAGCAAGAAGCTGGTACCCCGATCAACGACCTATATATCGAATAACTATTTATTTCGCAACTTTGAATAGTTGGAACGAACGAAACGAGAATTGGCTTGGTGCGAGAGACAAAGGAGTGGAGTCTATAAAGTCGTAAAGGAAGACAACTATGTCGTTGGTGGCGAGGGACGGCGAGGGACGGCGAGGGACGGCGAGGGACGGCGAGACGCGGCGCGGCGCGGCACGGCGAGTCGACGATTTATTTAGCCGACGACAGAAAAGGAATAACACCCAGGCTCGTGGTGGACGAGGGACAGTACCTATCTCTGGCGCAAAAAACGCCAAGGAGAAACGGAAGAGGAAAATGAGAGTTCCGGGGTGGTATCAAGTCGGAGGATAAAAAATACCAAGGATCTTTAGATGGAAGGATTTAGAGGAATTTTCAAAAGGGCGGACGGTTGGCGGAAGGTTCCGAGGGAAAAGACTGGACCGACTGGTGAGTCTGGCTGGTCTCACGTCTGGTCTCGTCCTCGTCCCGACTCCATACTCGACTCGATTCGTCTCTTCTCTTCTCTTCTCTTCTCTTCCCTTCCCTTCCCTTCTCTTCCCTTTTCGCGTTCGGTGTTCGAGGAGGCTGTACTGCCGCGGACACGTAGATTCTATCTTGCCATTCAGCCGCCTAGGTAATAAAACTCTCGCGTCCATTATTTACTTGCATTATCGTTACTTTACGCCCACGTAGACGCGCCACGTATTTATGGTGAAATTATTCAGCATTATTTCGCGGATATGAATAACGCGAAAGATACGGCCCACCGATAGACGTATAATTCGCGAAATTTTCGAAAATTCTAGCAGAGAAGATGAAGATGCAGATGAAGAGGACGAGGACGGGGACGATGAGGAGAAAGAAAGAGCGGTGGTTTGAAACTTGGGGAATTTGTAAGGTTGCAGAATCGACGTTTCACTGGAAATGGTAAGAGGAGAGGATTCGGAGGAGGCAGTGCGCGAGGGAACGAATCGCTTTCCACGAGAGTATCATTGTTCCCTGTACACATTTCGTAACTAGATTGGCATTTGTGATGCAAGTCGAGCTACACTGACCTTTAAACAACTTTCTTTAGGCTACGCGTGACTTGATCTCAGGACTCGGCTCCTCGGTTGCCTCGTTCACCTAGTTGATACAACGAGCTATGTGCTCTAGGTGGTACGCGTGGAAGTGTAGGAGAGCGTTCGCGGCTAGATTTCCGATACCTGCCGATCGACAAATCGCCTTCGAATCGAGTTATTCTTTCGTTGTTCGGATACCTGCTCCTCGACAAATCGTCGTCACGCTATCGCGAGCCGCGCTAGACCCGCGCTAGACCCGCGGCTATCTCGCGTGTCCGATCGTCGCGGGGACGCGGCATTTTCACCAACGCGCACCGCGTACTTACGTATCTACACCTGAAACCTGCTAGCGAGGCTGACCTCACGTACGCCGCGTTACCGTTACGCCGTCGACAAATTGCCCTCGTCCAAATTATTCTTTCTTTCTTTCTTTCTTTCTTTCTTTCTTTCTTTCCTTCATTCTCTCCTCCATTCTTTCTTTCCTCTTCTCTTTCTTTCGTCTTCTCTTTGGACGCCGCGCGAAACAATCGTCCATGGCGCGCTCGCGAGAAAATCACGCGGCGCTCGCCCGCGATTTCACCGTAACCACAGGGCACGGAAATTTATGCGCACGGACCCACCGCGCTCTCGTGTCGTTGAGCGAATCATAAATATGAAAGAGAGGAAACGAAAGGACATCCAGGCGACAATGCGGCTCCGAGGAAAATAATACACCGATCGCTCTTAGGCTACTCCTTCGGTCGGAACGCGACTCGCATTTTTCACTCCCTTACTCTTTCCTCGGCATACCAGGCGAACGTACCGGAAATCTAATCCCTCGATCGTTGGATACGCGCGACGACAATAGTTACTCGTCCCGGCCCGGCCCGGCCCGTCACTTTCAGGCCAGAAAATTACTTAATGAATATGGACATGCAACGCATTATGGCATATTAAAAGGCGCGTGTACGCGTGGGCGCATCTTCGTTGTTTAGTTTCGTTTCGTATCGTTTCGTCTCGTTTTATTTCGTGCCCTCCCTCACCCACACCGAGCACCGCTCGACAGCCAGCAGTTTGCGTTGCGTTAGTCAGCGCTCTTCCCTTAAGGGTCACCCGCAAGCCTCGCC